AGGCGCTAATGTCAGGACACCTCCACTCTCAGTACAGCGCCACTTTCCGAACAGGAAATGCACGCAAATACAAGCCTTTATATTATTAAGGTACAGCGCCACTTTCCGAACCATTGATGAATGCTTGTGTACACAACAACGGTAGGCAAAACCGTTTTAAATGTGTGTTTCCTGTATGGCGAATACAGCTGCTTTATTTATGTCTGTATGAAGTTGTTGTGAGTGTGGAGGGAGCAGCTACAGGTTAACTTAGCCTAATCGATCAGTGCACTACGAAGCCAGTGCTAGACAGTGAACTGTCAACGGGGGGAGCCCTGCCGGTCATTATCGGCCGATATTCACTCTTAATAGTTTGATCGGTGCTCTCTATAAAGGCCGATCAGGAGAGCTGGATCTGATCGATATGGACATAAACGCGAGTGAAGTATAACGGGACACGCGAGAGAGATCAGATCAGCTGCTGAGACTGACGGAGACACGCAGCTCTGCAGTGCATGATCACCTGAAGCTCCGCCCTCTGTTTAGCGAGCTGACCGGACAGCGCAAAATGCGTACATGAAGCGCTACATTATGAACGCAAGAAAATACCCTCGTGGGGGCGCGCTCATGTGATTGGCTTAGAATGGAGGAGACATCTGATTGGCTATAGATAGAAAAAATTACAAGTACGAATCGGTTGACCGTAAGGGGAGTCTCAAAAAACCCACACACGAATGCACAGCGATCCGTGCACAGAAAGCGGTATGTGTTTGCAGGTTCAGGGGATTTAAACGGAAAACAAATATGTGAGGATCAAAAATACATATGTAAAACTTTGTTCTGTATTAGGATTTTATTTACATGTGTATGAAATGGAACACATTTGTGTGTGCATTGAAAAACACAAGTGTGGATCTGGAAATACAAGTGTGAATCCTTCTGTGTGCATGTGTGTATTATGAGACTGTTCTGAGCCCATAAACTGGTTGTTTTAACAATGAGACATGCTAGAGGTTTTTTGTAGTTACAATTCACATGAATAAGCATTCGGGTGCACATTGAATTTAAGAACTTAATAATGAGCTTAGCATGAAGTGAACCATTTTGTAGATACATGATGTCTTATGTACCCATTACCCAGACACTAGCTTATATTGGTGGAATGCTGAATTACAACACTGAACAAAACTCCCAGCCACCTTTAGTGAGGTGATAGAAAAAAAACTACATGTACAAACAAAGCCATGCAAACGCCTATTAGCTCTGGTTCAAGACACCACAGGGCACAATGTTATCTGGCATCACATTAACTAGAGTCAGGTGTATGAGAGGTTTCACTTCACCTGACTCTTCATTTTACAAAGTGAAATGTCTACAGCTACTAAACAAAGTTGTACTGCAGACATATGTGAAGCCAAGTTGACTAAAGGACATGTTTGCTTATCCAGTAATTATCTATTGGGAAAACCAAAAAAATGCTGAAATAATTCTGTCAAAATAGTCACCACAATCCTTTACCGCACCCTGTGTGTTCGAGCAGGCACTGTGTTCACTTGACCAATAACTGCGTGAGGTACATCCTGTGACTGTGTGGGTTGGTCAAAGCAACAGGGGCAAATCCTAGCTTCAGACATTTTCATTTCTGTTATTGTGAAATGGTTTTTGACTCCTGTTCCAAATGGTTTCATGACAAAAGATACAAGCGATCCCACATAACTACTACCCTGAAAATGACTATGCAGTCTTTGTTCCCAAGCGGATAACGTGCCTAAAGCAGGGAGCATTAATCATTCAATAACTATTTTTTCCCAAACCATAGGGTTCAGAGTGAAAGAAATGAAGAAAGCAACTAAAAGTGATGCAATGCTTCTCCAGGACATGCCTCGACAAACTAATATTACAGGTCTGCTTTTTATTTGCACTCAAGGAAACTACTTCCATACTAACACCAAAGACATAATCAGTAAGCAGTGGTGCAATATGTATACTGCTCAGACAGCCACAGGGTAGAGCAGAGCAAACGTATGTACTGACACAGCAGCAATGGGAGTGCAGCATTGTAATGCCCTAACGATTGATCCTGTGTTAGCTTATATGCAGAAGAATGTTCACAAAAAACATAATGTATAGAAAACTTGCAATGTCGTTTTCATTCTCTTTCAAACACTGTAACTCAGATTTTTCTCATCACAACTACAATCCAAGTGCATTCAGAAACCTTCAACATCCAATATTTGGCTTGACACAAGACTCTCACTTTTTAGGAATTATTGAAACCGTGTGTTGTGAACTAATTCTGAGTGCCTTAGAAAGCTCTCTTTCAACCCTGAAAAGAGTGATACATGTTGAAACTGGACATCTCCTTTAGTTCACAAAGAGGACCTTTCTTCCACGCAGGATACCTCCTCTGTTTAGAAGACTCAGGTTTCGCCCAATCCCTTTGTGAACCAGAGGCACAAAGAACTTCCTCTCTCCTAGTTAGCCATGATTCAAGTGTGCTCCATCCCAGTGCCAGCTCTGACTTGCAGACTGTGGAGAATGATGCAGTGCTAGCAGGAGGCCTTTGTTAGCCAGGCCACAGGTAGAAAGGATGGCTGAGGGGCATTTGTGTGACTTAATTGGCTAACCCGAATACCACATGACCTTGACCCCATGGTTTTAATCCAAGCACGTTATTGTTTTGACAAGTTTCTGTGTGTTTTCCAGCTGTTCCCAGGCTTGCACTCATTCATGCAATTAGTTAAAAAAGCGAATTGCTCAAAAACTCGAAAGAATGCTTTGACCTTCTCAGACTTGCTATCTTTATTAAATGTAAACATGTTGCATACCCGACCCGTAAATCCTTTACAATCCCAAGGTGATCATTGTTAGTGCGGAATTACACGTCACTGCATATCTTATCTTATCACATCCAATATGATTAGAAGTGACAACAAAGAACTGATTAGACATAAACATGCCAACTAATATTGAAAGTATTACATTAATAATTTGACTAATGATTAAGACTATTAGTCTAGATTTGGATAATTATTGAAATTACGTTCACATCTCACATTTTTTAAATGAAATTGTTTAAATTATTGTTAAGGTCTAATGCAAAGATAAACAAACTTTATAGACAAACTGATAGAAATAAGTAGCATCATTTTAATTGGTAATAATTGATAATCATTCATCTTGTGTTAATCCACTGACCACTTTTCTAACGGGAAAGACGAGATACAAGGATTATTGGACAGTTTGAGCATGTTGAACATGACCTAGTTTAACTTCCAAACCAGGACAACTGTCTGCTTTTTCTTCTCTCATGTGAGCAAACTGAATATCTTTGGTCAATGCTGACTCGGTATTAAAAAGTTGTACACAGTAGTTTCTTTCAATCTGCCCTCGGAATGGAAATGTATACAAACTCACATAAACATAACTACAACCTTGTGTCAGTTAATCTGTTTTGCATAAAGTGTCCCTCGCACAGTTGGTGAACTGCTACAAAGAGGTGGCTCAGTCTAACATATTGTAGCAACTCTAAAGTTGTGTTTAGCTCTGTCATAGCTCCACTTTGGATTAGGAGAGGCACTTTTGTTTGTGTCCACTCCAGGTCAGCTTCTGGTCCCCTCTCCCAGGACCCCCTGCCGGGATAACTGGGATAGGGGGGGGGTCCACACCCTGAGATAACAGTGCATTTTAAGGCCTGGATAAACATTGAGCTGTTCACAAGCTATGTGGAATGCACTAGATGATTTGTTTTTCCCTGCTTTAGCAAAATGTTGTTTAGATATAGTGATTGTAGAATATCTATTGTAGGAGATATGACCTTGACCACCCCCCTTAAACATGCACTGGCAATAATAACAACACATGATATGAGGCAACACCAGACGTGATGAAAATAATAGGACATTTGTTTTGGAAGAATAAAAACAATAATTCATTTACATTGGTGATCCCAAATGTACACAGAGCATTTGGAGCATCCCAAGCTGAAAGCACCAACAATCATACCGAAAGATTGTCAAAGTCAAAACTATTTTGAAGTTATTCTGTTATTCACCCAACTCTACGCCTCATGTGTAGGACTACTATCCACTGTAAAAAGATATAAGACGTCTAATTTATAATCCCCAACAACCTGGAGAAACTCATAAAAAAACAAACAGAATGTGACCTAAGATGTTCAATGACATAATTACTCTGTAGCTATGTTAGTTTGACAATAAAGAACCTTGAACCTTGAGAATCCATGTTTCTGCTTTTCACAAAAGAATCATATCATTTAAGAATGAATGAATAGTTCAAATCAGGAATTCCCCAGCTGTAATAGGATGAATTAGCCATGGTTATATATATATATATATATATGTCTCTACTGTAGGCAATTTTTATTATATGTACAGCCCTTTGGCTCGACCAAAAATCGTTTATAAATGTGCTATATAAATAAAACTTGATTTGATTTGATAATAATAATATCCCTCATTCCTCATATCCATGTTGTAGAGTGGTGAAAAAAAAGTCCCTCATGAGTGCAACACATGATTCCGTTACAGAGGGGAACCACTCAGAATGAGTAAAAATATGCTCTGCAGTGACTCACGGGAGGCAATCATTATTAACTGCACGGTCTAAAGTTTCACCTCTCTACTACCTCACTGCTGCCCTTGCTTTTATGTTGTCAACAATATTTCCAAAAATACCACAAACAATGTTGCAAGATAACCAGTCCTCTCTCTCTCTCCTATAATATGGGTGGTGCTGTCAAACTACCTGCCTTCAGGGTCACAAGGATTAAAAAATAACATAGTTTTCATTTTCTGAACTTGGATAATGATACAGTGCAACAGTTGTGACGTCAACATGAACAACAGCAGCATTCATTCTCAGCCTTCACTAATTTCTCTTGTGTCTGCAGTTCAGTCAGTTGCTGAATCAGTGAGACGGTGGTTTATAATGATGGAGTTAGTGTGCAATATGCCTGTAGGTGCTCACATGTAAACACCACAACATAAAATAACACTAACCTGAATGGGGTCTGTAGAGAAGTTGATTTTCCTCTTTGGGGGAGGCTCCTCCTCATCCGACAGACCCATCATCTCGTAACAGTCGTCATAATCCCCATACATTTGATCCTCCTCCTCCTCTTCTTCTTCCCTGAGGACCTGGTCTACATCTCTGTCATCCACAAATGCTGCATTCTCAATACCGTACACTACTGGTGAGGCTCTATCCAGGATGCTCTGGCCCACCTGCTCCTCCAGCTCACCCTCCTCCTCTGCGACCTCCTCATCTTCCTCTCGATTATCATCATCATCATCATCTTCTTCTTCTTCCTGTCTATCCCTTTTCAACCCTTTTGCCCCACTGTCCTCCAAGACTCTTCCTTCACCCACAGTCTCTTCTATCCTTTGTGTCTCTTTAGAGACTTCTCTCGCTAAGACACGTGCAGTTTTACAGTTCTGTTTTTCTGGTGGAGATGTTCTTTTCATGTCTGTTAGAAGGTTGTCTTTGGGGCTTTTCCCCTTCTGTTCCTCAAATACATTATCTTCAACGTTCTCATCGTCATTCTCCTCACTCTCTGAAGACTCATTCTGAACTACTACCAGTTCTGCCCGTACCACCCCCACCCCTCTGGAGTCCAGGGCTGAGGTCTGGCTGGATGGCTTGTCTCTGGCAGGACTATCTACCACAGTGTCATTACTTCTGGCTTTTTCAGGGTATTTAACCCTGTTGGTGTTCTGAAACCCAGCAGCTGATGGAGAAGGTTGCTTAACATCCCCTGGGGGCGAACTATGTGGCTTGCCTTCATCCCCACCAACAGATGTCCTACTGAATCCATCACTGGATGATGAGGAGCGTTTGAAGCCATGGCTAACTGGGGTTGTTTGCTCTGGTGAGAGGGGTTTGTGAGTGGCATCAGTTGTTGGAGAATTTGTTTTGTATGCTGCATTAGTAGTTGGGCTGGTTGGCTTCATGCTTGACCCCAAAACCGTTGATTTGTTTGTGACACACGTCGTCTGGGATGTATTGTTGTTAGTGGCAACAGTCACATGGGTAGAGTTAGTGGCATCTTTAACAGTTGAAGTAGATTTCTGTGAGTTGTCTCTTGTTGGAGATGAAGACAGTAAGTGTTCAGTGGTACTGTGTTGTTTAGCAGCTGTGTTTGTCTCATCCAAGTCATTCTCTACCATGTAATTGTCCAACTTTTTGGATATGGGTCCTGCATTCAATGATACTCTAGATACATGCTTTTTCTCACCATTGACTTTCCCCTCCAGTTGACATTTATCTGTTGATGTTGGCGTTTGCTCTGATTTTATAATGATCTCAGACGATCCTGATACTCTCCTTGTGCTTTTCCCTTCATCAGAGGCACTTCCAAGGGACAAGCGATTTACTACCCTGCTTGGTGACTGCTTTTCTGCTGCAGGCTGCTCTTTGATGCCCCTTTCAAAGAGTTTTCTGGTCGAAGAAAACTTCTCTGCCAAAGCCACTTTGTCAATCTCAACATCTTCCCCCTTGGGTGTTTTATCTAAATGTTGTGATTCTGGGCTTGTGGCACTGTTGAGGTTAGCTCGAGGAGGGCTGACTGGAAGTTGCAGCTTTGGTGGGGACACAGGGGCCACTGGGGACACCGGGGCCACCAGGGCCACATCAGGCTTAGGAGTCACTTTCACCTCTTGGCACTCCTGTTGCTGACCATCCATCTGTAGGAAGATGTTCTTTATCTTGTTCACTCTGTTGCCAAAAGGCCTTCCTCTTGAGTCCTCCCGGTTGTCACTGGAGCCATTTACATATGATTTGGTGTCGCCTTCGGATTTCGACCCATCAAAAGTACACTTAATGGTGTGGAAGTCAGACTTGTATGCATTTCTGTGAGGGGAAGCGCTCCTCAGGGTCCTCTCGCCTCCTTTGCTTTCCGCTTTGATCATGTTTGCCTTTTGTTTGTGATTGCAGCCCAATTAGAAAAGCCGGTTTTGGAGAGCCTGTTGTTGTTTTGTTGGTGAACTATAGCTTTACGCAAGTGGTGCCATGGGTCCGGCGGAGCTTCTTTGTAGTACAGTGGTCTTAACTAAACACTCTCAGCGAAGTCATCTAAAGAGAGAAACGGATAGTAAAATCAGTTAATCAGAGACCGGATACCATTATCTCGCTATGCCTAGCAACGTAAGTCGTTTGAAATGAGTTAATACTTAATCATTAAGTATTTCTGTATCCAAACCAAAACAGTGTGAATACTAGGTTAGAACATGAAGGTTGAACTTTCAACGGTTAGTTCGTTAGAATGTGTACGTTGGCTTGCATTAACCGTTTGTATGCATTTCGGTGTAGTGGTTGTCCGACTACTGGCGTTAGCAAACGTTAAACCAAAAGTGTTTTGAATTTAAAGTTACCTTAACCAACTATATACTTGTACTTTATTTGTACTAAATTAAACGTTGTTAATAATGTTAGTAACGCTGCACCACTGATAAAAGGCGAAACAAAGTCAAACTTGGCAAACACAGCCCAGCGTTAGTGCTCTGAACAATTCATTGTGGCATTTCAAGTACGAGCCGTTAAAAATGTTAACTCTTCACACAACACCGCACAAAGGTAAACAACTTTGTAATGCTCTCACCTCCTACTCGCTGCATCGTGTTAGACGCCGAAAGTTGGCCCACAATGTCCCCGTTTTACAGCATTAAACTTGTGCCTTCTTCTTCCTCACCGCCATCATTCCCCGCTCCAACAGCGTTTTCCTGCCTCCTCCTTGCACTTCCAGACCTGTCGCGGGCTGCGCGCGCACGAGAGTCTGTCTGTGCTGCGCGGCGCGGCCGACGAGAACAGAGAGAGTCGGGAGCGCGCGCACATTCCAGAACTGTAACCCACCACCAGCTCCACCCCCTCCCCTCCTCTCTTTCTCCACAGATCACAGACTGGAGGAGTTGAAGGAGAAAGGCGTGGGAAAGGGCTTACTGTATATTAGAGCTCACCTAAAGACGTTCGGGACGAATCCCGATGGGCCGGTACCGAAGTGGGCCGATCGAAATTGCAGAAGACAATTGACATTTCATATAGGGGAAAGCACGGTTTTTAATGATTCAATCAGTGATAGATGAACTCCATTTAGCCGGTTCAGTTCCTTCCTATTGTATGCTGACTAACTGTCACACAGGTTCAGAATTATTTAATTTTTCTTACTGTTCCGTAGGACCGTAATGTTATTAGAATTAGGCTTTTTTATTAAACTCTCATTGGGTTAATCCGATTGTTGGTTCACATGGTGTATAGTGTTTGTATGGTAGGCCTATATATTCCTAAACAAAGTTACTGGTCACTGGGTCTAAAATGAAACTGACACATTGTGTAATTTACCTTATGAGAGTTTGGAGGCAACAGGGTAGGTCAACAATGTAAAAGGCTTATTAGTGGGAGTGTCCACTGGCAAACAGCGAATGATGCCCCAAGGCCCCATGACTTGTACATCCGGCTATGACTCAGCACATTGCCGCAGGTACTGGCTGATTATGAGGCTCCTTGTTTAGCCTGAAGGCAGTTATGGCATTAGCGTGGATGTGTATAGTTTAACTGAAGGGATGAAGTTTATTCTGGAAGAAAAATACAACATCTGACAACAATCTGAATGAATCTGTAGAACTACCTTCAGGTAACAGTAAGGTTTAACCAACAACAAGGCGGAGGAAGTGTATTAGTATACTATTTCATACACAAACTGCGTGTCAAAGTGCTTACATGATATATATATAAACATTCATCAGGAAATGCAAGTCGGGTTTAACCATATTTCACCTCAATTTAAGTGGGTCATTTTACAGAGATCCTATATCCTGCATATTATTGCTATGGCTGTGCACATTATCTTCCGACATTTTCTAATGAATCCTTTTTTACATATTGAAATCTAAATTAATTTTGCTGAAAATATATTCTGAAGTGATTTCACAAAACCAAAGTTTAGAAAGGATTACATTTCAAAGCACAATATATTTAGTATTTTCTTATGTCATGTTAAAAATCAGGTCACCTCTCTGGAGAATAATATGCTAGTTGCAGAACCAACATTTCATATGCACCTATTTGATTCAGGAAATAAAGAGATGATGTTTTCATGAGATTGGCTGCAAAGATACTGAATGAAAGTGTAGTCAGGTTTCCTCTGTGGCTGAGAACCTACATTGCAAAAATATCATCCAATCAGAAAGACCTAGGAAATAGAAGCCAGAGCATGTGGGAGAAGATGTTCTTTGATCTCAAATGAATATTTGAATATCTTTTACAAGACCTCAAATATGCGTCATTGTTTATTTACAAATGTAATAACATTCATCAGGTCATTATTTTGTAAAAGACTGGCTTTAAAATACATTTTTTACATAGTTTAAACGTGTATCTTATGTTTGATTACATCTTTATACATCTTGAACGTACACACTTTTGTAACTTTTTACGAAAAAGAGGGGATTATTATGTAACAATATGCAAAGAAGGATGTAATTATTTATAAATATGAACCAGGCCGCAGCAGGAGGCCTATAAGCAGATGGTGATCTATTTAGAAGACATGACCATTTCTTCAGTTGCCTAAAGTGTAAATCCATTTACATTTTTAATCCTACAAAAGATGAAATATTAAACTCTCAACACTGAGAGTTTCCACCCAGGGAGCATAACCATTTGCGTTTGATTATTAGATAAATGAATTATGAGCATATAAATAGTGCTTTATTTTAAGGCTATTACATCCCATCATATCAAAGTTGTAAATTAGTGTTTAAAAACATTCAGGGAGACGTCTCTGGAAAAGGTCCAGTCCTCAGGCATTTCCTCTGCAGCTATCAGCCCTCACATTCCATTTAAGTCTTGGTTATCAAGGTTCTTTATTTGTCATACGAACATAGCTACAGAGTTAAATTCTTAGGTCACAGTTATCTGATGAATGAGGTTTTTTATAGCTTAGTATTAGCCTACCACTAATGTACATCTTTCCTATGGGTTCTGTATTCATTTGTTTTATGTAAATTCATTTACATTTGGCTCAGGGGATGTGAGCTCTCAGACTGGGAGTGAGAGATAAGAAATTTTTAATGATGGATCACATTTCCTTTGACTCTGGAATGTGTATTTTGGTCTTTTAAGTGAGACCTATGTCCTATCCAACAATTCATACATCTCAAAATGTTCATCTTACATGAGAAAACACATTACTTTCAATATTGTACACTTACTTATAAGAGCTTCACATTCCAGTAGTAACAACTGTCTTTCCAAATGCTCATCTGCATCTGAAATGGGTTGCATGTGTCTGTGTGTTTACCTTTTACAGCTTGCTGGATCATCTCCTAGCAACTGTAGGTCTGAAAAGCCATATATACACAGTCAGTGGGCTTTCTCCCAGGGGTAAGATGGCACGCCGAAGCCAGGCCAGCGATCTCTATAGCAACCCTTCAAACAACATCGAATGAACAAGTCAAGCCGAATGAAAACGTGAGCAGGTGAAGTGCCGGTCAGTGGAATCTTTGACAAAATGTCAAACTCAATCAGACCACAACTAACAAAACAAACCTTTCTCTATGAGGCCATTGTTCCCTCTTCCTCAAGAGGGTTAAATGTTAAATATTGCCACCGTCAGCTGGGTGTTTTTAAATATGGAAAGCTATTTGATTGTGTTTTCAGGATACAGGATGGTTTGCACACCTACTTGCAACGGCAATAGGAGCAACCATTTGCAGTGTTTTAGGAGCCATCAGATTACTCGAAGTAGTGACAAAGGCACATTGGCAAAGCACTGCAGTGCATATTGACATTTTTACTAATTGTTATGTGTTGCTGTGATACTGCTGTGAGTTGAAGGTATGCAGTGTAACTAGAATGTGTGTTTTGTGTTGTGCATGCCCTGGCCTGAGCTCAGTCTTGCATCCTCACTATTTATCTTAGTAAGAGAGGGGGAGACCGCGTGATGGAAAGGGTAAATGCTGGTCTTTTAGAGAGTAAAAGATGAAGGTGCAACTTCAAAATGTGTGTGGGTTTTACTGGAACAGTCATTTAAAATAATTACCTGAAGGTCCATTTCCTGTAATACAAATCTAGTAAATTGACCTTAAGTTAACATATTTTGTGAAAAGACAAAATTCTCTCCATGCTCAGGACCATAGACAATAGAAATGTATAAAATGTGTAATCAGTGTGGCCTTCAACTCTTTATCAAAATGAAGTCTCTAAAATGCAAAACATCTTTGGAACTGCACACAAATATTTCTGCTCATACTAATCAAAATTGAATATTTCAGAGTCAGAGCTACATTTCCAAACAGTCTTGTAAATCAATGCCAAGGCAGCATGATTCTGTTTTTTTTTTACCTTAAACAGAAACAATGCTTCCATCTAGTGGCAGATAGAAGTACAACATTTAAGATATTGGTCAAATATAAATTCAAAAACAGTGATTTCTTTCATCTTCATCCTCATACCCAGGGGCACCGCCAGGGATTTTGGGCCCCATGAAAAGATATCACATTGGTTATACTTAAAAAATGTTTTCTTAATTTTCTAAAATACACTGAACAAAAATATAAACGCAACACTTTTGTTTTTGCTCCCATTTTTCATGAGATGAACTCAAAGATCTAAAACATTTTCTATATACACAAAATAACCATTTCTCACAAATATTGTTCACAAATCTGAAAATATCTGTGATAGTGAGCACTTCTCCTTTGCCGAGATAATCCATTCCACCTCAGGATTAGGGTTAGGGTAATGTTGTGAATCGAGTGGCCTGTGTTCGTCGTCCATAACATACGCCTGCCCATACCATAACCCCACCACCACCATGGGCCACTCGATTCACAACATTACCCTAACCCTAACCCTAACCCTACCCCTACCCCTCACACCAGATACTGACTGGTTTTCGGACCCCCCCAGACCCCCCCAATAAAGCAAAACTGCACGTTTCAGAGTGGCCTTTTATTGTGGCCAGCCTAAGGCACACCTGTGCAATAATCATGTTGTCTAATCAGCATCTTGATATGCCACACCTGTGAGGTGGGATGGATTATCTCGGCAAAGGAGAAGTGCTCACTATCACAGATTTTTTCAGATTTGTGAACAATATTTGAGAGAAATGGTTATTTTGTGTATATAGAAAATGTTTTAGATCTTTGAGTTCATCTCATGACAAATGGGAGCAAAAAAAAAAGTGTTGCGTTTATATTTTTGTTCAGTGTAGTTTGGGTCAGTCACGGGCGCTTAGAATCGTCCTAACTTTTCACCTCCTTAAAAGCAATGATTATGTACGTTCTATGAAATTCATGGAAAGATCAGTATTGTACTATACTATATTTCATCACACCATTTAAAGATTCTCAAGGATTTCAATATGTACAGCAGTTTGCATTTTCTTTTGTGGTTTGTGAACATCTGCCTCTCAAACGGCTGACAACCACTTTGTAATGATGGCACTCATACTGTCACACCCATGTGGAGTCTTAGGTTCTTATATTGTTAACTTACACTACACAGCGATTATTGTTTTATATCAATATTTAAAGGTCACCTATTGTGCAAAATCCACTTTTGCATGTCTTTTATACATAAACATGTGTCCCCTCTGTGTAAAGAGACTCTGAAACTTTATATATACAGTCTATGCTCTGAAAGTGTCAGGAAAAAAGATTTGCTCACTTTTTGTCCAGATCCATTTATATAAAAACCTGTCTGAAAAGGAGCTGATCAGATTGTGTCCACTTTATGATGTCATAACGTTTTTTTGGCTTGTGTAACCATTAGCCAATAACCAACCAAGGTAACACCCCCCACCTTATCACCCAAATCTCCTCCTAGAGCACCACTGTTCTTTTTAACCAAATATCTCTCAGAGGGGCGTGGGGAGTGGCTCCTTATT